GGGGGGGGGGGGGGTTGTTGCAATGACCTCTTTTTCAATATTGCCTCTATGCTCATCAGAATATGAAATATCAAAGGTCTTGTATCTCCCCTTCTACTAGGATGAGTAACACAATTTAGTTGCCCAACCCAACAATCTTTTGACGCCTAGTTAAATTTAACTACAATTTTTACCAGTGAAACAACAAAAAGCATAGCCCATCAGCTGAGTTCCACTCATTTTGCAACAATTGAAGGACATTGGCATTTTATCAGTACAATCTATCTTGGTTCTGCAGAAGCAAACTGAAAACCCAATGACCATCTATTCTATGACAGTGCACATGTCACAAATGAACCAAATGCCTTAGGTGCTTTCAAAATGCTTAATAATTTTAGTTTTTCACCAACTAACAAAATCACGTGTCTAATCCCAGCTCCCTACTGTATATACCGACACAATCTTTGCAAATATAGCTTTTACAACACAGATCCAACACAATTGCAAGACAACATAACTGGAAGAGTAGAGCATGAATACACAACAACACGCAAAAATGCAATAACAGTTAAAATTCAGATTTCAATCCTGTCAGTTTCAAAATTTGTCAATTATCATCAAGATCAATCATCCATAATTAGATTTGCTATGTCCCACTGGGTATAATAAATTTTGTAAAAATCAATGGGAAACCCAATAAATGTAATGGTGGATGATTAAACTCGAGAAAACTTAACAAATTGGTAGGACACATACCTATTAAAATCCACATTATACAACAGACACAAATCACTGAGCCCCAAATAAAATTGAACAATTTAAGAGGTGATAGAAAAGAAACATTTTGACATAAAGAACAAAAGTTCAAATACCCATTTTTAAAATACCTTTTCATAACCATCTTCACCAAATTTCTCTATAAAAGATGATAGATCTGGCAATGCCCAACACGGAAATTTTGCACCATCATGTGTCACAACTGAATCTATCGCATATCGGTTATCCTTACTTGACTTTATCATGGCTACATTCCTTCACACAGTTTACAAGCAATAATCAAAAACACTACATTAACAACATGAACAAGTTCTTATAAAAACCGAACTAGAAAACTTGTTCTTAAAAACGAAATTTGTAATTTGATTATCATCATTACAGAAGCGTAATTTAACCTTGAATTCACTAAATGAACAAAAAAAAATTACTGACTACCTGCCCTTGTTTCCTTCAGAATTGATTCGGCGAAGAAGAGCGGTGGTTTTTCCAGCAAACATCGGGCCAACAATAACGTGTATCTCGCCGGAAGGGCGATGAATTGAGCCAATTGGGTTGCCATTGCCGCCGACAACGGTCATTGGGGATTTGAATGAGGAAGACATGGTGGGTTTTAGAGGGAGAAAGTTGGGTTTTTTGAGAGATGATTATGAGAAGGAGAACTTGAAGAAAGTGAAGGTGGATCTGGAAAGAAGATGTGTTAGCGGTAGTTCGAAGGAGAGAGACTCCATTTCTCGTATATAAAATGCTTTGCTGAGACTCGGCCTGTAGGCTTGTTTGAATTTGAGTTTTTGGATTTTTGAAATTTGGAGGGATTGGAGAGAGTTTGAAGGTTTGGGGTTTGGAGGGAAAATTTTGCGTAGAGAGAGAGAGAGAGAGAGGTGATCATTGTCTTTGATGCGCTGGTTGGGGCCACCTCAGAGACACTTTTGAATAAGGGACCCACCTCATGAGCACCTGTCTGTCAGGATACGGATTGGATTCGATTAGTTAAATTAATATTTTTTATAAATAATTTGAATTTAATATTTTATATTTTATGAATTTAAATTTAGATATATTTATACCTACTTTAATTATGATCTGATTCAAATTATTTATATACCAAAGGTAAGGCACAATACAATTTAAATAGTTTTAAAACGGATGTTGGTGATCGTTTGATAAATCTATTTGAAACCGTCAAATAAATTTATTAAAATCTAACATGTTTTATATTATATATTTTTATATAAACATTAAAAAAATAAGTAATTATTTAAAAAAAATTAGTTAAAATTAAAGTATAATTAATTAAGTTATTCAGATCAATTTTCATATTACTAACGAATTCGAATATCGACCCCGAAAAGAAAATTCGTTGAACTCTCGGACCAAATTTAAAATCAAATTTGAACTTCGAATTCCGATAAATCATAATTCAATCCAAACCCGTTGACAACCTTCAGGTCACATGAATTCCGTGTGTTATGAGTAAATTATATTTAGACCCCTAAAATTTATCACTTCATCAATACTGACCCCTGATGTTTGACAAATAAAACTGAGACCTTTACAGGCATGTATCTGTCATAATCTGACCCCTGATCAATACTGACCCCTGATGTTTGACACATGGTACCCTTGCTGTCATAATCTGTAATTTAAAACAATCGATATAATAAAACAGGAGTGTGTTTGAATTTTATCCCAGTCATATTTTTTTCCTCAAAATCATTTTCAATCATTTACCTCACCCATCATCCTTCTGTCAGACTCAAACGTTAAATCACATCACTCATTTCTATCACATATTTAATCATTTATATATTTTTTTCCTAAAAATATCACACAACTTATTTCTATCATATATTTAATCATTTAATATTTAATTAATTTGTAGTTAATATATTTAAAAAAAATTTAATATAGTGAGATCGATTTTTTGGACGCTCGAATTTTATATTTTATCGTGCCTTTAGGCACGGGTTATGACTATAGTCTATCTCTTATAAAAAAATCCCAAATTACTCCATCATCATTTCCATATAAAAAATATAGTTTTTAATTTTCATTTAAACCCCCAAATATAACAATTTCTTCCAATAATACCCTCTCCTCTACTACCAACCCAAAATCATCACCACTGCCACCTTTCTCTCCCTCCCTATCCCACCTACGTTACTGCATAAACTAATACTGGTAAATTCTTCCTCTTTCTTAACGTCGGTAATTGGGTCGAGTTTTATGAGTTCGAATCAAACCTGTTAAGCTCTGTTTTAAAACAAGTTTAAAAAATTATTCAAATTCAGCTCGTTTAAAAAACGAGTCAAACTCGAACAATTTGATTATTTTACATATAAATGAGCTCAAATAGTTCAAATTGACTATTTTACATATAAACGAATCTTATCTAAATTCGACTCAATTATTATCCCTACCCATCTCCTCTCAAAAAACCCCTGCCCAAAATTGCACCAAGCCCCAACATCTCTCTCTCTCTCTCTCTCTCAAGATAGATCAAGAGTCTGAGCGATATAAACATATCTCTACTCACTCAAGACAAATCAAGGATTTTCCTGTTACCAAATAAAAATAAATAAATAAAAACCATCTACAGGTGGTTCCAAGTTTAAGAGTCTCAAATAATATTGACCTAGTTTTTACACCCAAACATAAGATATATGTAGTATATCCAATTGGTTCTCTATTCTAACTTAACTGTCTCGTGTAAAATAATCGATCACTAAATATCTTCAGACTCTCTATATGGACTAATTTAAAATAGAGTCTAATTTCACTCTCTATATTTGAAAAGCTAAACTCATTTTTTACACTATTGTTAATAAGTAAAAAGATGGCACACATATCTTCTTCATTAAATACTATTAACTATAGAGACTTATTCTTTTATTAGAATAAAAAAACCCTATTGAAATTATCTAGAAATTTTACTTTCTATTTTAAAGTTTTATCAAATATGTGCTCGATTTAAAAAAAAAAGATATTCTACAAAATAGATAATATTAATGGAGATACTCTTAGTCCCATCTCGTCAAGTGAAAAAAAAAAATTGTGATACCACGTCTATGGTAAGATTAAATCTTCTAAGGCAATACTACCTTCCAAAATATTATTGAAAAGACAAATTTGTCCCTTACAGAAAAAATTATAATTCTACTAATTTGATAGTTAACCACCAAGGTATAATTGTGGAAATTAAATATCCATTAATCACATAGATTTATTTAATTGCATAATGGCACAAATTCCTCCCATTAGAATGAATTACAATTTTAAGAATTTATTGTGACAGTTGTGATACTTAAATAAACAATAATCTATCAAATCTCACCAATTAATTATATTATTTTTGATTTGAATTTATGGTTTTGCCATTAATTTAGTACTTACTTTTTTACCATCAATTCAAAAAAATTATTCATCATCATTTGCACTAATCACCGCCATCTAGGGATGGTAATCGAGCTGGGCTCGACGAGTTTTATTATTTACAAGCTCGACTTGACTATGAATAGACTAGTTTAAATTTGACTTGAGTTTGATAACGAGGTTACGTTTTTTTATCAAGCTCGATTTGAAGAGTTTTTGATAACTGCTTCCATCATCTCACCCTCCCTTTCTTTTCACCCAAAACCATTTAATCTGCCCCTGTTGCCACCGTCACCGCCACCACCACCACCGCATACAAACACATGCACACACACACACAATCAGCCGAAAGTTGATTTGGTATGGTCTATCCACCACCCCACACCTACACTTTAACCTTAGCATATTTGTCCAAAAACCCAACATTCAACCACCAAAAATAACAAATCTAGTTTTGATGCCAACAAGACAAATGTGTTTCCTCAGGCAATGATTGATAAGATCACCATTGCCATCAACTTGGTGGAAACTTAATGTCAACTCTTCAATGCTCGATGGCTATTGCGATTGATATAATGGTGACAACCAGTGCATCTATTACTCGGTTGAGTACTTTGCTACAAACGATCTCTAAAACTTTGACCATGTTATTGTTCGTGTTGATTTCATCAACCCCATGGCTCTCCCTATGTCAATCTCAACAATTTCAAATCTGATTATTTATAGTTTTTAGTTGGACATTTGAAGGGTAGGAGAAGATTGACATTAGAAAAATAGTGGAGGGGGGAATTGTACGCGATTCTCTCATGAATCGCCTTCAACAAGGTTTGAAGCCGAGGAGAACGATTTTTTTATAGATACAAGACATTTATTATTAATCCAAAAAAGATCTTGTCTTGTGGGCGTTAGAGGACGTTTTCCATTATTCACCCGGTCCTTACTAGTGTTTCTAAAGTCAACGTAGGATCTGTGCAGGTAAGAGTTAAGAAAAGAGGTCCTAGGGGTTTAGGGGCTATGTAGAGCCGTAGAGGCAAGAGGGGCTACAATGGTGAAGGAAGGGCTATCGAAGTTGATAGGAACCCTGTGAAGAGAGAAGAGTTATCGGGTGGGGGGTGACAGGAGCGAGCTGAAAGATATCTGCAAGGGAGTTTAGGTGCGAGTCCAAGCATGAGTCATATGTGTTCATATTTATCTATTACTATCGTGCCTGAAAATATAATGCAATGTGAATAATTTTGAGAATGATATTTGTAGTTGTTGGATGAGTTTATTTGAAACCGTCGGATGAACTTATTAAAATTTGTTATCTATATAATAAAATAGAACGATTTTAAATTTTAGAAACAAAGAGCGGCCCATATTGTTTCGTAACTAAAAAAGTTATCATTCAACGAACTGCGTTATCTCAAACTGTTTTAAACTCTTGACATCTCAGATCGTTTTAATCCGACGTACCACATTAACTCTTTTGAAATATTTTTGTTGCTCAAAATTTATAGTTTTCAAAATTGATATTCCAAAATTTAATTCTCTCAAATCTTTCCCTTAAATCAAACAAATCTATTTCTCTCATTCCTCTTTATCTTTCTCTCACGCTCAATTCATGAAAAAAAAAATTCAATGTTTAACAATATTTTTTTCTGTATCTCTCTCTCTGTATTTTACAAAAATATCACGAATATATCAAAGTGTCTGATTCAAGCAAATACTATATCTCTCTGTAGATAAATAATATATATTACAGAGAGAGATAGTATAGTACGCAAATATTCCATTGTATCTCTCTCTGAAGGAAAATTATGTAATAAATATTAGTTAGATAATATATATCACGAAAATATTCCTCTGTAACTCTCTCTTTCATTCAAGCAATATTATAAACTCGAATCATACAAATTTAATACTCAATTTTATTTTTTTCCATAATCAATAAAATAAAACATAATTTACAAAAAATCTAATTTAACAAAAAAAATATAATTAACATGTAAAATATACGAGATTAAATTCATGTTATTGGACAACTCAGATATCAAGAAATATATTAAAGAAAATATGCTTAACATTTAAAATATACAAGATTAAATTCATATACAAACATGAATCATACAAATTTAATATTTAGTGAGCAACACAAAACAACAATATTTATAAAATAATTTAAATCTAAATACCTGAGAAAAATGATACAAAATTACAAACAGAGAAATGATGCAAAATTATAAGTAATAATATGAATATGAATCATATAAATTTCATATTTAATGAACAATACGAAACAATAATCTTTATTAAATAATTTAATATTAAATAACGTTTAGTTTAATAAAATATACTAATAATATAAATAACCGAGAAAAATGATATAAAATTAAAAATATTGTTATAAATTCAAATCATACAAATTCAATAGTCAATTTTATTTTTTTCATAATTAATAAAAAAAACATAACTTGCAAAAAATTTAATTTAATAAAAAAAATATAATTAACATGTAAAATATACGAGATTAAATTTATGTTATTGAGCAACTCAGATATCAAGAAATATACTAAAGAAAATATGCTTAACATTTAAAATATATAAGATTAAATTCATATATAAACATGAATCATACAAATGCAATGTTTAGTGAACAGCACAAAACAACAATATTTACTAAATAATTCAAATCTAAATATCCGAGAAAAATGATACAAAATTACAAGCAAGAGAAATAATACAAAATTATAAACAATCTTGTGAACACAAATATATCATATAAATTCAATAATTAACGAACAACACGAAAAAACAATTTTTACTAAATAATCTAATACTAAATAACGTTTAGTTTAAGAAAATATACTAAGAATATAAATAACCGAGAAGAATGATATAAAATTAAAAACACAACTATAAACTTGAATCATACAAATTCAACAGTCCGTCGTTTACTACGATGTTGTATTTTACTTTATATTTATGTATAAAAAAATAATTATAACTAATTTATGAATAATATTGCACCTTCGTGTACGAACAATTGCTAATATTTTATATTATAGATTTGTTTTTATGAATACACATAACATCATACATGTATATTTTACCCGACATTACAGTACAATCGCAAAAGCCCAAGAATACTGACCAGTCAAATAAAGGTGCAAAAGGTTGTCTTATTGAAATCGTTAATGCCATTCAATAATTTTGATTTTTTTTGTTATTTTTTAAATTTAAAGCGTATCATGTAATAAAGTCAAATAATAGGGAATCCATTTTTAAAGTGACCCAACTATCTCTGAGTTGTTAGCGATGTCTATATACAAATATAAATTATTATACACACCAACCAACCTATTACTAAATCAATTCCCATAAATGTAATAAAAATCACAAGAACACCGATTCATAAGTTGGGCAAAAAATTTGTTTTTTTGTGATCAATGGCTCAAGTCTCCTATTTTCGTCCCTCTCCTTCTCCCAAAAAAACAAGTTGGGCAATGGTGTGATTACTTTAGATAAACCGCAAATGATTAAATTTTTGCACCGTAGTCTAAGCATAGATTAATAAAAATAAAAATGATTTCTTATTCACTAATCCAGAAACTGTGGGACCATAATTACTTATATCTCCCTATAGTTGAGGATTATTGGAAAGTATTGTGAGTGAAAAGTCTTTCAACAAAAGTATTACTTTTTAAACCATTATATAGTTGTCAATGCGTTGTCAGTTTTCTCTAATGTGTCCAAATGACCAAATTAGGATTAGTACCAAATTCCAAAAATTTGAAACACAAAACTATTTCTAATGAACATAATTTTGATTGGAATATAATAAAACTATTATATTTGGAGATTAAGGTGGATGTCATGATAATCTGGTCCTTTTTTTGGTATAACGGTCAAGAGTATTCAAGTTAACTTACGTATATTTTGATTAATTTTTTTTGATTTAATTAAAAACAGATTATCTACGCTGAGACTAAAAAATTTAAGAGAGACAAATTTTCCATCAGTCAACTTCAAGAGAGTTACTAAATTTTGATATCAAGATGTTTAATTTCACAACCCATTCTTGTTACCCGTTTGGACTGAACTATGAGGTTAATCTCGTCTTTTTGTTGTTGTTGTTTTTTTTTTTTGTGGTTCAAAGGCTATGAGTATTCGGATTAAGTTATGTACATATCGATTAATCTTATCTCCTACTTAGTCAAAGATAACAATTTACGTTGAAATCAGTATATCCATGATAAATAAATCTCTCATGATTGACCTAAGTAATTGTCTATTTATATTATTACTTGGGTTAACAATTGTAAGAGAGATTAATCACGTCTTTCGTTGCCGAATGTAACATAAGTAATCCGACGGATGAATTTTTAAATCTAACGGCTGAATTTTGCCTTCAAAATTGTGGGCCACACTCCATGGGTGATGGGACCAGACATCATCCATGGTCCATGGATGAGCATACGAGTCTGTGGACTCTACTAAGGATTTTCCCAATAAGTATATAATGCTCGAACACAAGGACAAACAATTCTTACATTTATCAGATCAAACATCCCATTTTCATCTCCTTTTTTCTCTCTCTAGACCACATATTCCCATGTTCTGAAAAAACTTCCATTTATACATAAAATCTTATAGATTCATCTGTCCAACTTTTAAAACTCTCTGCTCTGCCCATCTGTTCTTGGTATGTCTAAATATACTGTCCTGTAATGAAATTGGAAAGGATTGAAAAGAACTCGAACCCAGAGAAAAGGGGCTATGTTGAGCAGGATGAACATGCTCTCGGTTCTCAGTGTGCCTCCACCCAGATCTTTGATTGATGTCTAGATTTCTCTTTAGCTGGGTGGGTTTTGTCAAAATCTTGAGTTGGGTGTTGCTTTTTTTTTTGCCAATTTAGACTGCATAATATAATCATTGTAAGTTTTGCGGATGATTTCTTTGTTGGGTTTTTCAGGGGTATTGAATTTTTGTATTAACCATCAAAGGATCGGATGGTTTTGTTTTGAATCCGATAATTTCAATTGGTATCAGCCATACTTTGTTGTGTGTTTCTGCTAATTCTTCAAGTAAGATATGGTTCTTGTTGTTTGATTATCTTCTCATCCGCATTTTATTCTATGCGCTAGGATATCTATGATTAACAGACGATTGCATGTTGATGAGTCATTTGTTTTGCTTGGACCTGTGTGCGATATGTTGGATCAACTATGGACTATGCACTCCTGTTGAAATGTGTCTTTCTTTATTCAAGAATTGTCATCTGTCACAAATTGCATAGTGGACATTTGTGATTGTAAATTTTGGAATTTGGATTGATGTAAGAGGTTTTGGTGCGCAGAAAAAATGCAATCCGATCTTGGCAAGTTATTTATTGGTGGAATTTCATGGGACACTGATGAAGACCGCCTCAAGGATTATTTTAGTACTTATGGGGAGGTGTTGGAAGCTGTAATTATGAGAGATCGGACCACAGGCCGTGCACGTGGCTTTGGTTTCATTGTCTTTGCCGACCCTGCTGTTGCCGAGAGAGTCATCAAGGAGAAGCACAACATTGATGGCAGGATGGTAAGTTGTTTGATCTGTCATATACCAAGATTCAATTCAGTTAGTCTAGCAAATGAGGTTTTTCCAATTTAGACAGTAGTTTCAAAGTATTGCTTTGAATCTAATGGGACGTGTACAATTATGTCTGAGATTAAGTCAAATGAATAAACAGTAGTAGCATCCAGGGTCCTCCTGGTCTTATGTTTTTAAGCATGTGATTTTTGTTTTATGTTTGTGTTCTTAATGCTGCTTCATGATATTAGAGTTGAAGGCGACCTCTTTTATATTTAGTTAGAGTTACTTCAAAATTGAGTTTTTTACTTTTGAGCTTGGGTGTCATTAGCTTGTTCTTGTTCTTCAGGTTGAGGCAAAAAAGGCAGTTCCACGTGATGACCAGAACACCATGAGTAGAAACAGTAGCAGCATTCAAGGTTCTCCTGGTCCAGGGTGCACAAGAAAGATATTTGTGGGAGGTTTAGCATCCACAGTCACAGAGAGTGACTTTAGGCAGTATTTTGAGCAGTTTGGGATAATCACGGATGTTGTGGTTATGTATGATCACAACACTCAGAGGCCAAGAGGCTTTGGATTCATCACTTATGATTCTGAGGAAGCTGTGGACACAGTTTTGCTTAAAACTTTCCATGAGCTAAATGGTAAAATGGTGGAGGTCAAGCGCGCAGTCCCTAAAGAGTTATCACTGGGTCCTAATCGAAGCCCACTTGGTGGATTTAGCGATGGTTTTAGCAGGATCAATAGCTTCCTTCATGGCTACACTCCAGGATACTCTCCAAGTACAGCTGGAGGGTATGGAGTTAGAATGGATGGTAGATTCAGTCCGATTGCTGCTGGTAGAAGTGGGTTTCCTCCATTTTGTCCTGGTTACGGAATGAACTTGAACTTTGAACCAGGATTGAGACCAAATTATGGGGGCAATGCAAACTTCAATACTAATCTCAGCTATGGACGGGAACTGAACCCTTATTATGTTGGTAACTCAAATAGATTTGGTAGTTCTAATGGGTACGATGGAGGAAACACTTCCTTTTTCAGTTCAGCAACTCGGAATTTGTGGGGTAATGGAGGGCTTAATTATGGGGCAAGCTCTACAAGTTCCAGTGGTTATGTGGGATCCGGAAGCGGAAGCATTGGAGGAGGAAATTTTGAAAACAGTGGAGTTTGGGGTTCTTCTCCAATTTCACCTCAAGATAGAGGAAATGTTCCTAGATCCAGTGCAAATTTTGGTTATGGAGGTGGTAATAGCAGTTATGGTTTGGGAGTGGGAGGGCATGGCAGAAACAGTGCAACTACTGCAGCTCCTTTATCGTCATATGTAGCATCAAATGGAAGCTATGATGGGGCTATTGCAGACTTCTATGGTAGTGGTTCAGTGTATGAGGACCCCACTTGGCGCTCGGCAAATCCTGACAGAGAGAGATCTGGTTCATTTGGTTATGGGTTAGACAATGGAGCCTCTGATGTCCCACCTAAAAGTTCTCCAGGTTATGTTGGTGGTTATATTATTAACAGGAGACAGACAAGAGGTAAGCTACTTTTCATGCAAGATTTCTTTCTCTTTTTACATCTAGTATTGGGTGCAATGGTGTCTGGCCTAGTAGAGAAATGAGAAATCCATATCATTGCCAAGAGTGCCAGTTCTCAAAACTTGATTAAATGTTTTCTAAGAGAGATCATCATAGAAGGTAACATTCTTTTTCTGCACTTCTTGAATGCGGTTTTCTGTGTAGACATTCAGAGGACTGCCCAATTTGGCTGCCACATGAGACCATGACTTTGGATTAGAAACTGCAGTGGAGTTCACAATACAAAAGAATTGTGTAGATTTATATTTTATTGGAAAAGGTTTTAGGCATGAGTACACACCTATGCCTTTTTGCTGGTTTGCTTTTATTGCGGGAATAAATCAGTAGAAAACATTCTGAGCCTAATTGCAATGTTATCCAAGTTGGGGATTCAAAGTGAGAATGTAGTTCACTTCATAGGCCGAAGTCTGAGATTACATAGTGATCCTTGCCTTTGGTGTATTAAGGATTTAAACTTGTAATGCTGCTGTTCTTGATCTGTTAAGCTATGTTGGGGCTGGTCCTCTTAAGCTTAATTATATAGCATGATTTCTTCACTTTGTTTAGTTCTTAAGGGGTCAGTTTTATTGATGGAGAGATATGTTGTACATTCAGAGACATCGAACAAAATTATTAGGCCTTTTCCATGAATGTCTTAAACGTGTATATGCACGGAACATGGTCCTGCTTATATATAGCTTGATGGATACAAACAGTAACACCTTGTTAATCTTACAAGTTATCAAGTATAAATTCTACACTGATGTTAAAAAGTAAAGTCAACATTAACAAAATCGTTGACATATATGAAATGCCACGACTCATTTCTTTAGTTTTATTTTATTGTGCAAAAAAGTAAATGAATTTGTAAATGCTCAATGCATTGTGAAAGCTGATGTTTTAAAGTATAGCTCCCAGAGTAAATTTTATTGACTTTAGTGGAGTGAAGCTCCCATTCTTCTCTATGATTTGTTCCCCCAGTTTTAGCATGGATAACCTTCCAAACTAGATAAGAGGAACTATATTGGATTGATCAGGAGTGGTGTTTTGCCCAAAGATTATTTTCTAAGTTGTGCAAATTCATTTTAGCCAGAATGGGAGCAATGCATTATCTTGCTTGCAAGCTTCATGAACATGGGCATTGACTTTCGCTTTAGACTGGAGACAGGTGGTGTTTCTCTCTGTGTTTAACCACTTGATTGTGTTCCTTTCTTGCCACGTAGGGGATTTATTGGCCACTAAACTCTAATTAAACTGGTTTTTGCATCACCTTTCTTGTGAAAACATAAAATGTATGGACCATAGGAGTGGTCATTCTGTGTTCTACTTTGCCTTCCCCAAAAAGAGCCACATTTTTTGTTTGGGAAGTGGTTCAGTAGTCAATTCTGAGGAATAAGATTTATGTCAACTAGTGCTTCATAAGAGCAAGGAACGGTAAACTATTCGTTGATTCACTAAATTATACTCCATATTCCTTTTTTTTTTTTTGAATGGCTTGGGTTGTGCTGATTCCATTTGAGGAATTTCTAGTTGGAGAAGGGGATTTTTACGTATGATGCTATGCTTGATGTGGTGAATAGTGTTTTTTTTGGGGGGGAGGAATTATGCAGTCTTTGAGGGGGAAAGCGACCTAGTTTGAAGCTCATGAGTTGGTGCTGAAAACATTTCTTTCCTGGTGTGTTGGATTTTTGGTCAGAATGTAAGAGAAGGGGGGGGGGGGGTTTGGAGTGGACTCCTCACAGGAAAAGGGGATGCAGCTTAATGGTACAACTTTTAACAAAATTCAGATGATGGTGTTTATCCCATTTCATTTCCACCACAAGGACGTGTTAGTGGGACAGCATTTCCTTCTGAATGTAATGCTTTTCTCCAGGTCTCCACGGCTACCATTCTAGTCAGCTAGATGGCACCTCCATGATCTAGTCCTTCAGTTCCAAAAAAAATCTAGTCTTTCCAACCGGGGCAGTAAATGAGCCGATTGAACTTTGTAGTCTGTTGCTTAATCATGGCTTGAGAAAGCAAGGCACTCCAAAATGAAGATTGAATGAAGGATTTCAAGTGAGCTTTTGTTTGTGTCAATCTTGACTAAAGCTCATGTGGTGTAGAATTATTATGGTGCTTGCTTATAGTTTGAGTTCCCTAGCATGTTGAGACTAGAACTACCCAATCATAATGATTAATGAGCTTCAAAATAGGACGAGATTGGCTTTATGTCATGACTGGTGTTTATAGCTACCCAAGCCATCTAGCCTACTAGCAATGCTTAGAGTTTGAGTGCTCTAGCTTGTTGAGATTAATGATTAATGAGAAAAGGGTTTGTTAACATGGTGAGTAGCAACTGTTTATATTTTGTCTGAAATTCTGTCTTCAAAGTTTTGTCCTACCTTGACCGTGAAGACCATGTTAAAAAGAAAAGAATCAAATTGGAAATTTCACATGAAGCAAGCTTGAGCCTCATGTTATCTGACGTAATGTTGTCCCTCTTAATCTTAGGTTAATCTTCTGCTCTCTATTCACGATTAGTTTGAGTTTTAGGAGTTAAGATCTGCAGATTTTAAGATGTGGGCTGTAATTATGGTCAATGGCGTAATTGCGGTTATATTATTTGAGTTTTTCAGTGATCTCTATTTGGTCAATGATGTTCTAGCTGGTGAAAGGTTTAGAGTTTATATTTTTTTCTTTTAATTTTGATAGAATTAGGAGAAACCCAGAAGCCTCTATATATATATTTATGCTTTCTAGCAAATAAAGAATGGGTTCTAAATGAGGTCCAGGGGGTGCATTGGCCTACCCTGAATTTTTTTAAAAAAATATTAGTTATGTATATTTAAAATTATTATAAATATACTTAAGTGTGTCCACTCTATTATTTTTTGTTCTATCAATTAGTATAATCATATAACTAACTAATTATGAACTTTTGGACATAATTTGAACATTTTATGGATACATCTAGATAAATCTTTGACATGTCAAAATTATTTTTAAATTTATAGATATTATGAAAACTGGGTTAAATAACATAATGAGTGATCAATGATTAATAGTTTGATTGGTTATATAGAGAAAGACTATAGTATCTTTTATGCGGTTAGTCTCATTTATTGTGAAGGGGTGTAATTAGCCTTTTTCTTTTTTTCTTTTTATTTGTATACACTATATTTATCAACGTTTGATAATTTTTGTATTTTATAAATCTTTAAGTATCAAATATAATGTTGTAAATTTAAATACTTTATTTTATTTTTGTTGATTGGGAGAAAAAAATTTAAAGTTTCTGATTAAATGGCCCACCCCTACACAGAATTTTTGGCTCCGCCACTGGTTTTAAAGAATTTAATTATGATTATGTTTGCTTGTGATGTCACCTAACTCTTTTGAGGGTGAAGTTGAAGTTTCTAGGTGAGATTTCTTGGTTCTTATTCTTTTTCTCCTGTCTTTTCTTTTTATTTTAACTGCCTTTATTAGTTTATTCATTCATTGTTCATAGCCCCTTAACAAAGAACAGTGTTTCTTTTTAGTCTTAAACCCTAGTTTCCAAAGCCCTAATCAACCGTGATCCATTCCTTTACGCGACACTTGGAACTTTAAATGTTTGTCTAGAACTTCCAGCACACCCCTTTTCTGTAATTCCTGTGACTTATGATTTCGTAAACCAGCCAATCTGAATCCTTTCCTGTCTACAAATCTTCAATGTGGCATCTTATAGCTTCCTGAATCGGTAAGTTTTTGTATCCTTCCCATGTCGCACATAATTGTATGTGGCAGCATTATAAAGTTTCCTGAAGCCCTCCTAGATCATTAAATATGTATTTGATTATATTAAAATGCCTTGAACCGATCTCACTTCTGAACTTACAGATGTTATTAAGTGGTTAAAGTGAGAAAGTTTGTCCTAAGTGCAATTTTTGGTCTGTCAAACTACTCATGGCCATTGAAAACTCTCATCATACTGTTGTGCTAACATGCAACTTGGTATTGATGTTCCCTAGATAGCCATCTAAGGGTTTAGATATCTCGTCATATCTACTTCATGTTGGAAGGATTAGCCGATATTTATGGTATGTTATGTATAGATCTTTTGTGGAATGTTATGTATAGAATAATGTTGATGTCTTTGGCTCCTAACAGCATGGTTGTTGTTATGAATCATGTTCAGGGATGGCTAGTTACCATTGAACAGACTAACAGCAGTTACAGATTAGTGTGTTAATGGTATTGGCATTCTCTGCATAATGGTTGCATCTCTATATCTATCATTTTGTTGTAAATAAAGTATTCATTTGCAGAAGGTTTTGAGCTTTATTTGACTAGCCCTTGAGGCCTGTTGGTCTTTAGTTTATTTGGCTGCCTGCTTAGTTGACAATGTCAAGTATTCTTTAGAGATATGTTCCTTGTCAACATTGTTTATAAATGTTCTCAAACTGTTTGAGACCAGTTAATACTGTTTCTTTATCGATGGAAAATAAACTTATATTCGTTGACTGAGTATGATATACTTTCTGTTATTTACAAGTTCCTGGTTTTCAATTGCTACAGGAATTGCTGGCTAGGAGGATATTGGAAATCAAAATCATACTGTAGATGAAGTTTGGTGCTGCAAGTGAACTGTGAATTTTGCATACTCCCTCGTTACCATCTTTCAATAGAAATGTTAAAGAAATAATCTTATCCAGAGCTAACTGGACTGGCTGTTTGGAAGAATCAAGTTTAGAGATAGAAGTTACAAGGGATTTTTTGTCAAGGATTTTGTTTTAAGTTACTGTTTTAGGTGTTTCTTTTTGGTTTTTTTTTGAGTGAGATGTAAAATCAGATTGCGGCATATAGTTAGAAATGTATCATGGATCTCTCTGGTCAGGCTGTGATACATGATTTCCTTTTTCAGATTGCTGTAATGTTCGGCAAAGTTGCAAGTCCTAGTTTGCTATGCTTTGTTTTTGTGGTTCCCTCCATTGGGTTTGTAATTCATCAAATTGTACCAGAGCTCTGGTTGATTTAGTGGCTTGAAACATTTGAGGGATACCCATCTGGGTCCCGTTAAAAA